AGTTTTTTTAGTGAAGTTAGGTAGGTGCATGTTGGTTGATATTCTTAATGAGTGATGTTTTAGTTTGACCTTTTTATTTCCTATTAACTTTCATTAAAGGAAATTCAAGAGCTAGTGGAATGTTGGAAAACTGGGACATGCAAGTAAGAACTGTTACCCAAGCAGATTTTGATGTCTGTTTCAATGTCTTTGTTGTAGCTTCAGGGTTTTTTTACCCCCATTCAAGCATTACCTGGTGTTTTTATTTCCATCTGACAGTGTGTATAAATAGGAGTTTATGTAGCATCAGTGTAATCTCTATTTGTACTTTAATTTTTTTTTTCCCTGGTCATAGTTTACATAGGTAAATTTCTGACTTACTTGTAGTCGGATTTCTAATTTTATCAATACTGGAAGAGAGTATATGCTAGCACTAGAGAATGTGCCCATCAGCATGAGTTGTTGGAAATCACATTCTATTCCTGACAAATCTTAGTCTTTGCATAGCTAAAACATGTTTTTCATTCAAGGATTTGGCTTTTGTTGTGTTAAGAAACAGATTTTTTTTGTTTTGCAAGTGAGGTTTTTGTTCTTGAAAAAATCCTTATACTTTCTGCATTTTTAACTGAGAAACTAGTTAGACAAAATCCAATGTGAAACATGATAGAGGACTAACAACTGAATTTTGGATTCCCCTTCAAAACTGTGGAGAGAAGAATTCCCTTTGTTGCAGTTATTAAACTAACTGCATGCCAGCCCCCGGAGTTTCATTGTTACTTTGATTTTTCTAACACTCTACAAGAATAAAGACTTACTTCTTAGCATATATGCTGTAATATTTATTAAAAGCATTTGTGAGGTGTAGACTCTCTCATCAATTGGTAAAGGTAACTAAAAGATTTTGCTGAGGAAGACTCAGCAAAAGGTGTTTGCTCCTGTAGGGGAGGAGACATGTAAAAGCTGTCAAGTATAACTGTGAAGGCTGGAGACTGCAGCATTACTGTCATTGTGCTCCAGCATTACTTGGATTGATGCAAGTGCTGTACACGTGCAGCCAAGGGAGACCTGAGCAATTTTCCCTGGTGCTGCTCTGAATTTCAGTTGAGGCTTATCCTCTTTCAGTAAGAAAAGTGTTCACTGAGACTGAGGATTCAGAATAAACACGGAGTCTTTCCTACCAGTCTTAAAATGTATGTTTTGTACAAGTAATGGTGGCTGCCGGAAAAGGAGCAAATTCCCATTATACTGTCTTGGCATATAAGCACTTCAGCCTCATTGATAAGGTGAGGTTGGCTGTGGAAAGAATGTGCTCATTTGGCTTAACCCACAAAGCCTGGACCATGACAGCTGTAAATTGGTGATGAACGTAACCATGTCACTACCACGTCTTTGTGTTATTATTCACAGTGGCAGGCATTTAACGTGGAAGGATTCTTTCTTACTTACTCTAGAGGTTTGTGATGGGATAATGCTGATTGTAAAAATAAGCCTAGTGGAGACTTGGTATGTGCTTGCAATTATTGTAAAATTTGGCATAATTTCAGAATAAAACAGGATGTGAAATATCCACAAATAGTGTCAGAAATCTTTAGTTACGTGCCTATATTTATACCTGACTTCACAGGATTGAAATGCAGATCTTTATGTTATGTACTTCAGTAAAGCTCATATTTTGCTGCCTCATCTTCCTGTTGTCAATAAAAGGTCTGATCTTACAGTATTAATGCTAAAGTCTATTGATTGTTGCATCCAGAAATTGCATCCATAAGGTTTTCTGTCCTGTCTGGGTTAGTCTTAAACCCCCTCTTACTCTCCTACCAGCTTTCTCGAGCTGGGCCTTCTGCCTGAGGCTCAAGGAGGTGGGACCTCTTCTACTTCCCCCCACCACAGCAAGAGGATATGTGGGTGGCAACACCATACATTGTCCAAGCTGGTCAGCTTAGGAGATGGATATTTACTGCAGTTGTCTTGATGATTATTTGCAAATACTACTTTTCCAGTTTAACTTAATTTAAATATGACAAAGATTTACTTATAGAGTGCTTTGTGAAGAAGCTACTCATCTCCTATAATACAATTCCATATGGCAGAGCATAGCTGCTGTGATAGTGTGGGTTTATTTATATTTTGTATATCCAATTCAAATATTTTGACTTTAGCCTTAAGCATGCTCATGTTTGAGAAATTGGAAGAAAAACTTCTCTGAGCACTTCAAGAAAAAGTTGATGCTAATTTAGTAACAAGAAAATTACAGTTCTGGAGTATTCCCCTTAAAGTATTTGTAAGCATAGGAACCTGCAGGGAGGCTACACTCCTGTCAGTTCATGTGGGTGCTGTTTGATTATTTCCCTCTTCCACCCCCCCTTTAGCTAAAAGGTCAGATGGGTTTTTGTACTCTTCATTCTCTCTCTCTGAGAGATTTGATTACGTATTTTATTAAAATAGTACAGATAACTATAAGTTGGAAGTTTACATTAGATTGAAGGTAATTATTTAAAGACACCTTGTAGTTGCATTAAAGGGAAAAAATCTGAGAGCAGATGTTGTTAGTTGGTCCTTAAGCAAATACTGACAGAAGTTTCATCCTGTGAGTCATACAGATCTGTTATTTTACTGCCTCTAAGAAGAAAATGTTACTTTGTTAGAGTGTGTGTCTGTAATAGCAGTCTGAGCAAACCCGGACATCTTATTCCACTACTACACTGTAAGATCAGAAGTTTTGGGCAGATTTGACCAATCATGAAATTTCAGGATATTACCAGAGATTCTGACCTTTGTCTTTAAACTGTTTAGCAGGTTACCTGATTTGTCTCAACCAAAGACAAATCGCCTTAACCTCTTCCTTAATCAAAAATCCTTGCTAAAGAAGGGATGGAGGAAGGCCAAGCACAGTGCCCTGTTGGGGAAGAGGGTCACCCTTTGCCTGGCAAGTTTTGGCCCTTCTGCTGTTTTGCTGCTTGTGGATCCTCTTCTTTGAGGAGATCAGGTCAGGTGGTGCAGAGTAATGTTTTGTTCAAGTCTGGGTGGTAAGTGTGTGTGTGTGGGGGGGAAACAAACCAAAACCAGCTGTGTCCTCCTAAAGAGCTTCATTCAGAAAGTATCTTACCCTTCTACATATTTTGGGAGAATGAGGAAGTAAAATTTTTTAGGTGATTTGTGTCTTCGCTTAAGTATATAACATAAAAGTGGTAATACTGTAAAAGAGTACTGTTTTGTTAGTCTCCTAGTAGCTTAGAAAGAGGATGGAAATAGAGAGATCGTTTTATTTTTACTTAGCTTCCACAACAGCTTCCATTTTCTAAGATGTCATTATCCTTATCTCTATAGTATGTCTCTGCTGCTTGTAATTTCCCCAAGCAACAGAAGCAGTAGAACAAAGTCAGTGTGTGGTGATTTTTTGTAACAATTTCATCATTTCACAAAATCACTGTATTACAGGAGTGACAAGTGGCTAATCAGTGTCACTCTTTTGTCTTGTTAGAACTCTAGGCAGTAACTAAGGCATTCAAAGTGTGATTGAAGGCTTAAGGAAATGGTTTTGCATTAGTCCACCTTCATGTAACAAGATAGGAGTCTTCACAAATACAGAAGTTGTCCTTTTTCAGGAAGCATGTGGATTTAAGTTTTGTGTAAAAACCAGTGGCTTTGACACCCCCACCCTTCACCCACGGGTTTTCTAGGGAAGGCTTTTTGGCTATACCTGGTCAGTGACTGATTGGATTCTGCAAAAGTTGACATCTTTGCTCTGGCTCTCTGTAGTTCTTGCCAGCCTTTTGGAGAGCTGTCAGCTTGAGATTGGGACTGTTTGGAACATATCTGTGAAACTGTTTCGGATACTTAGTTTGTTTTTGACTTTAACTGGAAGCTGGTAGTTCCCCTGCATGGGGAAGATAGAAAATCTGCAATGTGCATGGAAGAAAAGTGTCTGACTGCACCAAACTTTACAGATAAACTCTGCTGACATGTAGTTTTGTCAAAAGCATAGTGTCTGCTGAAAAAAGTACATCTATTTTCTCTTTGTTAATGGTATTTTACTTCTAACAATAGTAGCTGCATGAGTTTTACTTGAAAGCTTGTTTTGTGTTATTTAATATAATGAATGTTGCACTGTATTTGCGAGACTTGCCTGTTCAGGACAAGCTTTACATCAGAGAGTTTTCTTGTGATGGGGAAATAATCAAAATGTGGTTTGTTTGGTTGGGTTTTTTTGTTGTTGTTGTATTTCTAAAGGCATTTTTATCACCTGTCATGCTTGAATTGAGAATATTTGACACTTCTTGAGGTATTTTAAATTTAGTTTTAAAAAGATTAAATACTGGATTGACCAATTATCAAAGTTAATGTTGCCAAGGTGTTCATGCACTTGTAGTATATGTTGATTGATCAGAAGTTAAGGTGTTGGTATAAACGTGGTGTCTTCTCACTTTTAGCTTTTTCCTGTGTATTTACAGATTTTCCAGGTTACAGTGTGTTTTGTATTCTGCTCTTACACTTGCTTGATAACAGTAAAGAATTTATTACCGTAGCCGTTGATTATCATGTCAATATGTAAGGCCTTTGTATTATGTCATCTTCCCGTATCGGGCTCTCTTGGTGTGGGTCATCTTAACTTTTACTTCTGAATTTTGCAAATATGGTTATCAGAGGAGTCAATCATCTGTTTACCATCTCTTTTGAAATCAGCAGCCATCCTTTCTAGTGGTGAAAGGGTGTGTTCGTTAGTCCCCACGGAGCAAGAAACAATAAGTGTGTGTTTGGATGTGCAGTAAATGAACTTCCTAGAACAGGACATTGAAATTTTACTACTATAACCTCCAACATTGCAGGGTTGGGGTTTTTTTTTGTTGTTGCATTGGGGTTTTTGGGGTGCTGTTTTTTCTGTTTGTTTATTTTTACATTTAAACCCAGCCTTTAATGTTTAAGATGACTTTTAAATCTGCTTGACTTTTAAACTTTACTTATTAATTCTTGAGATATATTAGATTCTTCTGTGGCTTCAGTATTTCCTGGTCTCTTCACAGGACCCCAGCTGAATGCACAACTAGAAGGGTGGCTTTCTCAAGTACAGTCCACAAAAAGACCTGCAAGAGCCATTATTGCACCGTAAGTTTGGAACCTGTTTTTAGTATATATATTAACACTTGATTGGTTAAATACTTTTTTTTGTTCATTTGTTTTGATTGATTTTCAAAATTGGTAAAAACTAGTATTTAGCTGAAAGGAATGTAGTGTAGTTTTTTAATAAGCATTTTGAATATGCCATAGAATGGAAGAAATCTGTGCACGTTTTGATGTATGATTAATTTCTTTTTGCTGATGGACTCCAGACACAATATTCATTTGTGATCCAGTAAGATGGGTAAGAGGTGTATTAATGGAGTGCTATTCAAAGGTGACAGCCCTTTCAATGCACTTCTAGTGTAGGACAGCTACACCTACTAGGAAAAAAAACCAACAGCGCAAAAAATAAGTAAAACTCTTGCACCCCTCTTGCCCCCCAAATCAAAACTTAGCAAAGCTTAAATAAAAAGTAATAAAATGTTATTCAGCTATCCAAAATGGTTGGTTTGTTATTTTAGTTTGGTTTTGTTTGGGGTTTTTTTTGTCCACAGTTGGAATAGGGATTGTCTGAACTACTTAGGGAGAATTCAGTTTCCTGAAGATAGGTGAGATGTAATGAGAAAAGTATGTTGGTCATTTCAATTAATTATGAGTTGGAAGAAAACACTAGAAAAAGCACCTTAAATATGATGGTTTTCCTGTGCTAACATAGCATTGTGTCCTAGTTAGAACAGCTGGGACCAGTTCATCACTGTATGGGTGTAACCCAAAACTGTGTATTCTATAGCCTTCCATGCCATTTCCCAGAAACTGTTATCAATAGACTATTTACACCACCTGCCCAGAGCAGCCTGACTCCTCAGGCTATAAACTGGGTGTTAAGAGGCCTGCGAGATAGGAGGATGCTCCTGTCCTCACACCCGTTGTGGAACTCCATGCCCTGAGGGAGGTACTGGGCATTCCTGCCTGAACCTGAGGATATATATAATCTTGGAGTCTTGGGACTTTTTTACCACTTGTGGGATCCAGAGAAGGAGGGTGGCCACCACTTTTCAACCGGACTGCAACCACCACTCTTGACCAGACTGCAACAGCACTCTCACCAACAGGTTTTCCCTCTCCTTTTACTTTGGACTCAGGGGGCCCAACAAACACCACTCTGTTCATGCCTCAGGGTGCTGAGTTATACATTTGGGTTTTGTGGGTTAAAATCAATTGTTTGCCTATATAATCGTACTTATTGTATTATTTTATTAAATTGTTATTCTGATTTATAATCTCTCTTTTGAGTTGGATTCATTTCCCCTGCCGGTTTACCTTTAAACCAGCACATGTTGACATAATGTTTGAAGTATTCCATAATAGTATTGAATTTCCAGAAGACATTGTCCCACATCTGCCTTAATCTTTCTTGCAGGAATGTCAGGAAAGAGACCTTTCAGCTGCAGATTATGTAAGCTGGGATCTTTTTCCAGAATTGCTAGATCCTGTAATCTCAGATCTCACCAAAGTTTTTCATTAGCCATGCCTTTTTTTTTTTTTTCCCCACCTGTAAAGTGGGATATATCTGATAGTATTTTTGTGGAAGACAGGAGAAGCCTGTAGCAGAGCAAACCTTTCAGCAGGCTCTTTTGACATTGTCAAGTGACATACCTTGCCAGTTCTGAGCTCTTTAGAATGAGTGGATTAAGTCATGTTGAAGTAAAATCCCAGGGTAATTTTGAGGATAACTTGCTCCACGTATCAACTCTGTGGATGAATGTAGATGCAGGTGAGCATACATACATATAAAATCCTCCTGTGCTGTGAACAAGGAACTTGTATCTTCAAACATCCTGTATGTCCCAGGACATGCAGTATGTATCATTCTCAGTATCATTGTGTAAAAAGACTTGGGAAGGCTGTAGTTGTGTTGTTGCACATACTCGACTCAAGCAGTAACTATTGACCTGGAGTTGCAGGTGCTCTAGATGAGCTCGAGGGGGTGATGTGGCCTGGGCATACTGCTGAGTGACTGTGAGCTCTTTTGCGCCACTTGACCTTGGACTTTGGAAATGAATGTTCTCTGGACTTAATGCTTTTAGTGGTGTAAAGTGAATTTTCACTGGTTTCTAACAGTTTTGAAGGGAATGGGTCTTAAGATTTGAATGTGATATTTAAAACAAGTAGTCAGAATAATTAAAAATTTTGGAGAGCAAACAGGAACAGAGGTCAAGAAAGACCCCAGACCAGAGTGATAGGAAATGATGAATCATGCATCATGTTTGCAGTAAAAACTAGCATGCTGCATTCCACTTCTGTCTGTGTGCCCATTCACTCTCTTGCTCATGTATTCTTCTTCTGTGACAGAGCATTTTTATTCTCTGGTTTATCTGCTGTAACATATAGTTCTCTCCTTGCCGGCCCCCTCTACTGTCATCGTTTTCAGTTACTGCCATGTGGTTGGAAGAGCCTTCTCCAGCAGTTTGCTATTCCCTTGTTCCCTGGCTGCACACTTTGTGTTATCATGAGCTTCTGATAATGTGCAGTTGTGCACTCTGCACACCAGTGTCTTTTAAGAGTGATGGAAGGGGCTGCATTTTGGACGTTTATTTACTGTCAAATGGCCGTTGATCGTTCTTTAATGGGTCGGTAAACGGTCACTGATAGTTCTTCTATCACTTTTGTGATCAATACTACAGCCATGCTCTTCTGCTTTTTCAGGAGTTGGCTTTTAGGTCACTCTTACTATTTCTAGCTTACTGGGGACAAAAAATATCCAAGATATTAATATTTAATAGCAATATCAACATATTTAAGATGTTAAGCAATATTTGACATTGTTAACATTTTGTACACCTTGATTTGCAGCCACGCAGGATACACGTATTGTGGATCTTGTGCAGCCCATGCTTACAAACAAGTGGATCCTAATATCACGTAAGTATGAGTTTTTCTTTGCAAAGCAGGAGACAATGCCGTTGCAATTCTCTGATAAGCTGAATGTTCTTTTTACATTCTTACACCTTGAAGTACTCAGGTTTTAATTTTATACTTTTTTTTAGACTTTTATGGGTCCCTTTGGTTTTAACATCATACATGTTCAAATTGGATGTTACAAAATAAAAAAATATAGTATTGTTGAAATAGAAAATGTAAAGCAGTATTTTCAAAAATTTGTTGAAATTATTGGTAACTATAACAAGGGAGGGCTTAAAGATGTCCTTTTTACAGGTAATAACAGTATATTACTGACATTCCACTGCTTTTATAAAAGCCCAAGCTGTTTTTTTTGGGGGGGGAGGGTGTTTGGAGTTTTTGGGTTGATTTTGGTTTTTTTGGTTGTCATTGGGAGGTTTTGGTTGTTTTTTAAGTCTGTTAAAATATTTGACCATGATTCTGCATTAGTTTTTCAGTGCAGGATTATGGGCTGAATACTACCAGGTTTCTCTTCTTCTATGGAGAAAGTGACTCATGTGTTTATATAATATTTTAAGTCAGCGACAGTTACTCATTCCAATAATTTTAGGTGGACTTTTGTTTCTAACAAGTTTAAAATAAGAAAAATTAAAAAAAACCCCAGCATGCTACTGTAGTCTGTGCCTGCATCTGAAAATATGAATCCAGTTATTTTAGGTTAAAGGAATATAATTCTTGTTATGTTCTACTTACTGCAACTTTTTTTTTTTAATGGGAAAAATTTAATGCACCTTCAGTATTTACTCAAAGTATGTATTTTGCAGTGCTAAATAAAAACTGGCTAGGTTTATCAGTTTTTCATGAGATAACATGTTGTAATATGCTCCAAAGCCAATGGGTTTAATTCTTTCTAAACTGTTGTAAACTATGTGAAAATAATTTATGGTGAGACATAAGTTTTAGAGAAACCTAGTTCCTCTAAAATTTCCAGAACAAGTTTCATTCCCCACATTGAGTGACATGGAGTCAATTGAACTTTATGGATCATTTGCTGGTTTACCACATGGAATGTTTAGAATTCATCTTTGAGCTGAATTATTGCATGTTTGGATATTTTCTTTTCATTAGCTTTGCAGAAAGTTATAGTATTTTAGTATATCTTGCTAATAGCACTCCATGTGTAAAGGAAAAAAAACCAACCCCACAACTTTACATGTTTCCCACCCTTTTAGTTCAGTGCCAGAAAAAAGATGATATCCTGAATGGGAAAAGCTGAATTTCCTATATTTTTTGTTTCTTTTTTCTTGTAAGTCCTGTGGCAGGAGACCCTAAGCATCTAATCAAGAGCCAGGAACTGAGGACTTGAAATAACATCATGATGACGTGGGAAAGGTTGCAGTATCAGCTAAAGCTATGAATGTGCAGGTCCAAGTCCCCGTTGTTGATGCAACAGATAGATAAAAACAGCATTTGAGAATTACTTTAATTTGGTGTAATCTGAACTGAGACTAATCAACTAAATAAGTGAAAAGCTCTGAATAGATTATAAACCCATAATCGTTTGAGGTCACATTCCTATAGTTGTTGAAGGTGGTGTGTAGTGATGTGTAGCTGAAGGTTCTGTTGATCCAAGGAGAGAATTCAAAAAATCTGTTCTGAGGGGCTGTATGACATCATTCAGCCTCCAAATGAATCCAGTTAGACAGATTTCTAGCTGTTGAGTGCCCTGTGATATATAACCTGCTTAAGAGATTTAAGGCTACAGGAAGCATTATTGAACTCATCTCATGATAATTTCTGAGATACTGAGCAAGGCTGAGCCATTGATTGATCTGTGGTCTTACAGACAGCAGAGTAAAACAGTTGTAGCCTTGAGAAAATATTACTTTTTATGTTTTTATTAAACTTGTTGCTCTAAGCTAGGTCTCTCTACAATTGCATTTATCTAAACTGTGGGCTTTTGTGTTAATTGTTGCAGCCGAAAAATTTTCATTCTTGGGCCTTCCCATCACGTGCCCCTCTCCCGATGTGCACTTTCCAGTGTGGACATTTACAGGACACCTCTGTATGATCTCCGAATTGACCAAAAGAGTAAGTGCATGAAAAAGCTTACATCTTGAAGACTGCTGAGGCTTGAGTATTGACTGTGGTACTACAGTGCTGAGGACTTGCTTGTTGAGCACTTCCTTGCTTTAAGTGGCACACAAGTGCAAATCAGGTTTTACTGCAACCAAAGCTAACTTCTGAAAGATCCTGGCTGTGGCAGGCATTGTCGTGTTATAACCATAATATCTCTCTTGCTCCTGACAAGTAAAGAATTCTCAGTTTTTGCTTATCTTTTCCATTTTGAGTGTGTGCCTCTTGACAAGTGATCTTTAAAAGAACTTTAAAAATTAAGTGTTACTGTCAAAGAATATCTCACTAAGCACCTTCTCCATTATTCTGTGAAGTATTCTGGCTGGAACAAGGTACTTCAGTTGGTTCGAGTTTGATTTCTGATAGAGGAATAACAGAGGAATATGCATTATTGCATGTGACTTTTTAACTTGCAAAGTACCTGCAGAACTTAAAATCATTACTCCATGAAATACCAGTCTTTGGAAGTAAGCTTAAAGGTGCAATGAAGATAAATTTGATATTTTGACTTTTATGCATTTCAAGGTATACCTGTATAATACAGTATCTTTTTCAGAAGGGCTAATTAGCGCAGATATATTGTGTTTCATCGTAACTGTGATTAAGCAAGATAATTCAGGCTTTCTACATAGTGCCTGCAGAAATTTCCTTAGGTAAGAAATGTTTTGGGTTTTGTAGAACTCCCTTATGAAAGGACTAAAGAAGGAGGCACAACCCTACATCAAATTTTTCGTGCAGTGGATAATTTTCAAAATGTAGAAATGACTCCGAATGCTCTCAAGCACACTTGAGAATAGAAAAGATAACTTGCAAATGTGGATTACTTAACCAGTTTTGGCTGTCTCTAGATTTCATGATTTGGTCAATAATAAATTGTGTTAAATAGTAACACATCCAGCAATGGCTTCACTGATCAATTTTTTTTAATATATGATGGTGCTGTTTGTGAAAATAAGAATTCAATGACTGGGCAAATTTATGTATATTTTCAAACATGTTTTATTTGTATTACTTGGATTTTCAGTTATGATACAAGATTTTTCTCAATATACTAACAAGTTCACTGATTTAACATACTTATTTTGTAAACTGAATCAATTACATTTGTATCTTAATTACTTGAATATCATTTTAATCCTGAATTTATTTAGAAACAAGTGGTTTGTGATGACAGCCTTTGGAGGCAAGTAGTTTGTTCTAGTGGGCGTGTTCTTATAAAGATGCACTGTAGCTTGCTTTTTCACTTGTAGCAGTTTTCAGAAACATAAAGTAGTAAAAATTAATCTTTTAATTCATTTCAGTTTATGGAGAATTGTGGAAGACTGGAATGTTTGAGCGTATGTCCCTACAGACAGATGAAGATGAACACAGTATTGAAATGCATTTGCCTTATACTGCTAAAGCCATGGAAAGGTACTCGGGCTAATTACTTCTACAAGAATGAGCATTATGTGCATTAAATGTTTGAACTACATATTAAGTGCAGTAGGAAGTAATAATGAATTTTGAACTACATATTAAGTGCAGTAGGAGGTAATAATGAATTTTATGGCACAGAGTACCTTATATGATATATAATGCTTACACTCCCCCACACTCCAGTAAAAATTTTGGTAAGGAGAGGGTCAGAGACTAGGATAAGTTGCTGTAATAGAAACAGTGAGCAGAGCAAACATCTGAATGATGAAGTTATAACACCTCTTATAGACAGGTTTACATTGATTTAAAATAGATTCATGAAAGCATGTCTGTATTAGAGCATGTCTTTCTCAATAGCCGATTTCCTCCCCCCTTCCCCCCCATTTTTTGCAAGGCATCTTTGCAAGATGTTCAAATACCAATAGGTGTTTTCTGTGGGATTTTAAGTTTGTTCGGAACTTTAGTACTAATTTTGAAATCAGGGTTCTGTTTACACCTGCTGTTTCAGATCTGTATTTGAAATAAAATTTGTCATCATTAGAGAAAAATTGTCAATTTGTGTTGGGGGTTGTTCCCACATGTACAGGTCACATCTTTTTATTATTTTTTCCATTGTATTTTAAATTTTCCCTGGAGTATCAGTGTACACCTGGGTACTTGCCTTTAGCATTTTCATATACGTTTCATATACTTTGGAGAATTACCCAACATGCAGTATCTATACAAGTTGAATCTAATTCTTATTTCACTGCTGACTTCACTGTGTCTTTTCTTTTTGTTTGCCTGGTGTTTTCACTTTGCAGGAAAGTTAAATACTGCATTTGGGGGTGTGTGTTGTTTTCTGAAGTTTTAAGTACTTTGAGGTTCTAAAACAACATCCTAGTATGACCTTACCAAATTACTATCTTCAAATCAATAGTGACCCTTTAAAACATTCTGCACTTTCAGTTAGCAAACCCTGAAAAATCTTCAGATGTTACTTGAACTACAACCTTTTTTCTTTTGCTTATAAGCCATAAGGATGAGTTTACTATTATTCCTGTGTTGGTCGGAGCACTGAGTGAGTCAAAAGAGCAGGAATTTGGAAAACTCTTCAGTAAATACCTAGCTGATCCTAGTAACCTCTTTGTGGTTTCTTCTGACTTTTGCCATTGGGGTAAGTTTCATATCTCTTCATGATAACGGTATGTTGAATCTTTTGTAGTTATTTTCAAATAATGTATTTTTTAAACATTGAACATTTAACTTCATGTATTTTTGAAACTTAAATGCCTTTGTAAGGTTAATAAAAGGATTTTTTAAAATCTGGAACGATAGGTGAAAAAAATTGATGTGATAATGTGTTTTCAGTATAGTGGGGGAAATAAATGGTGAAGGTGTTGTGGGTTTATAGGCATCTCTTTACTGTTGCAATGTAATAATTGTCTGAAGTTGCTTGCTCTTTTTACTCTTCTTCTAAGCACCTCAAACAACTTGCAGAACTAATTAGCTAAAAATTCACTGGACATGGCCACATTCCTCTGACGGAAATAAGTTTTGTATGTTTTACAGCTGGGTAAGATAGCAGATGGAGTATTTATGCCAGCTCACCAGAGCTATCCCAGTTCATCTTGGTGGCAGAGCTAAAAAGACTCCAGAAGCCTTGACTTCTGTCCTCCTTTAACACTTTATTTTTCTTTTAAGTGTGATAGTAGCTGGAAAAGGGACTGCTTGAGAAAGATATGTTACACAACAGACCTTCTTTCTTTTTTTCCTTGTCATCTTTGGTCAACTTACATAATTAAGTGCATATTTTACTCATCTTTGAATTGTGGAGTAGGTGGAAGTATATATCATGACCTGGGTTCTGTTGTGGCTAATGAACCATCTAGAACTGTTCATTGAATTATCATAAATTTTTTCTTTTAACCTTCATTTACTGTGGGTATTGTTGTGCAAGCAGAAGTAGCCTGACTCCATGGTTGACTTGGCCAAGAAGGATAGAGAAATGAAATGTTGCTTTACTTCTTAATTTATAGAATTGGATTCCAAGGAAATAACAGGCAATTAATAAATGATACTGCAGTGTCAGTTCTACGTAGTAGGTTTTTCTTTAGGAATATAGCTACCCATCCTGTATTTTTTTTTACTTTGTTTCTGGGCTGCTACTTGATGATAGCCCTAGAATTTTCTCAGTGGACCTAAAACGTATAAAATAAATGAAGATTACTAGTTTACAAATATTATACTTTCAAATATTTAGTAAGTACTAGGGAGTGTTTTAGCTACAATTTTTCCCTTTTTTATTTTATACATGATTTTTGTTTCAAGGTCAGAGGTTCCGTTACAGTTACTATGATGAATCCCAAGGAGAAATTTATAGATCCATTGAGCACCTAGATAAAATGGTAAGTTTTCAGATTTGGTGGAACTAACTAACAAATTTCTCCTGTGCATTACATTTCTTTGAACACTTTAGAAATTTCTCTAACAAAATATTATAGATTAGCTATTTTATTGAATGTATCATTTGCCTTTGTTTAGCACAATAAGAACTTAGCTGTCGTTTTTAGTTAGTATCCTCCATTTTACTGACTGCACACAATTATATTGCGGGTATAATCTCGTAAGAGTAATTTATGAGAATAAATGCATGTTCACCTACCTAAAATGCCCTAGTGTCACGTAATTCCTGTCCGCATACCCTCTTACGTTTTTGAGAGTCAGTGAGAATCATGCATGGAGTATTGTGGCAGTTCAGGTTTGATAGCTGTGATACCTGCGTGTGGAAACAGCATTGTGATTGTGCTAATGGTTTCAGCAACATCCATTTTGAGGAGGAAAGGCTGTAGGGGATTGCACTGATCAGGAAAATGAGTCACCACCGTACTTGGTAGTAGTGTTCCCCTTGGCCCTTACTCTGTAATACGTGGTGGGAAAGAGAAGTAGACCATACTTCATTCTGTGTTTGGTGAAAGGCTGAGAGGAATGCTAAATACGTAAAGGTTATGATGCCAATTATGCTGTGTTTCCTTTGCAATCACAGGAGCCAAGGATTTATTTTTAAATTAGAAAAAGGTTAATGTTCAAGACTATACTTAAGGCATAGAATAAAAGTAATTCTTTTGGAAATACATAATTTTAAAATTTGTTTTACAACTGCTTGCATCATTTATGTAATTTCTGTAGAATCTGTTAGAATTGTTGTTCCTGGCATATTAATTTTTATCTTGTCTTGAAGGAATAAATCCTATCTGTTGGAGGGATCTCTTAAGTTTTTTCCTCTGTTTATCCATATTAATGTTTGGTTTTTCCACTACTCATCACTGGAATAGGAACAATAAATAACTTGCCTTCATTCTGTTTATCCCATTTTTAATAATTCTTATAGTCAGTTGAGGGCTTTCTCTATCAATACAAGTGGTTTTCTACAGAATCCCAGAATTTGCAGCTCTGAATGTTTTTACAGGAGAGCAGATTACGGTGCATTAGCAAACATTAGTTTCCCTTTGTTAATTTCTGTGGTGAAAGCTTCAAGACTGGACTTTGGCATTTAATTACTTTTAGGAAAGGCATTGCTGCACCAACTCTTTCTTTTGGTAGTTATTTAACCAAAAGGAAATTACATTTTTTGTGACATGGAAAATCATGTCTACTGTTTGAAAAAGTATTTTTATAGTACTAAAATTGGCTTAATTTTATTGGACCTAGCTAGGAAAGCAGTCGGCTGAGTGCTTTGTAAGCAGGAAAGCATTCTGGGTTAAGATGAAATCAGTTTGCCTTGGAAATGCCCTTGTGGAAGGACAGTAGTCTCTTCCTTATTTGGACTGAACCTTGCATATAGATGCATAATGATTTTCCCACCTAGTGCATAAAAACTGCTGAACACTTTGGGTATTGAAGTTTTACTAAGCTGGTAACCATGATGAGAAATTTTATTTGCTGTGATTCTAACTTAGAGCCATTAGACTCCAGCATGAAAAAAATACAGAGTAGTAAATATTACTAGGCAGACATCAGTTTCTCCATGGTAATTGCTGATATGAGCACTGTCACCACAATGCACTCTGTGAAGTGACAGTAAAAGAAGTAAATAAGCTTCATGGTTAATAGGGGGGTACCTTAGGGAAGAGTCCTCAAACGAAGAGTTATTATTGAGCAGCTCGTGTACAATCGTTTGTACAGCATAACCTGCTAACTACCATCTTTTTAAATAAAAGGCAGGGGGGGAGTATTTTGTAAGATGTTGTTGAAGAGTAATTATTCTTGATTATGACTACCCAGAAAATGCAGACGGCTCTCTTCAATCTTCACTGCCAGATTGCTCATTTTATATGAGCGTATTATTTATATGGGAAATATTATGCCTCACGTGAGTCAAAGGGAGGATTCTGTTACCCTGACTGCTGACAGTGCAGTGACTGAGGAGAGCTGTGCAGGAACAGCGAGCAGTAGTTGTGCAGGAGCCATGCTCAGCACTGGTGGCTTCTCAGGTAGCTCTAAATGAACTGCTGAATTCCGGTGGCTTCTGCAGCGCTGCTGCAGTATGCCAGGACCTTCCACAGTGCTCCAGCCTGGGAAGGCTTCTTAACCTGAGCATAATGCAAGACAATGACTCTGCCTGGGTTCCCAGATCCCTGCTGTTTCTGCTGTGCCCAGACAGTAGTTTTCCCATTGGTTGTTTATCTTCCAGTCTGAGTGACTACACATGCAAAGATAGTTGGACTGGATGGTATTAAGACCAAGTTTGTTTCTACTTCCATTAGAGGGCTACTAGTTTATATTTTTAAGTGTGAAGAAGCAGCTGAAGTGACTTATAACAAGCTTTAATTTAACCAGCCAGAGGATTAGTGGAGTATAGTGTGAAATAAACCTATAGGTTGGTGGAGGTTTTGTGTGTGTTGGTTTGGGTGTTTTGGGTTTTTTTGTAATTTTTGTAAGCTTGTAGATGCTTGATCCTGTTAAGGGATGATATTTAGAAATGTAACTGGTTTTAATCATATTAAGTGCACGGTGCTATGATATTGTAGATGCTATTAACAGTGTCTGGGTAACTGGGGTATGCAATTGCTATGTGATGCCTTAATAACCGTGTGATAAACTGCAGAACTGTGTTTGCATTTTTATCATGTGGTTTTTGTCACGTGTTTTAACTCTGTTCTAAGCCATGCCTGGCTGAGTTGTTACAAATCCTAAAAATTAGTAGCTTCATAATTTTGCTTTTTAGAAAAATAAAACACAACCTGACAAAAATGTTTCCTTTGTTCCTCAACACCATTTTAGGCTGAGAAATGAGTTTGGTAGTCTTTGCTTCTCTGCCACAACAATTTTTAAATCCAAAAGATTGAAAAGTTCAGTACAACTGACTGCTTATAGGATATTTGTTAATACCCATTTCCTATGGATTTTCTCCAGTCTGTAATGTATAGAACTCTGTTAGCATTTTCTGGGATGAACTGCATAGCTCTAAATGTTTTGCGGTGCTGAACAGTGCACTGAAATAGGCTTACTAGGCATTCTCATAAACCCATGTCCATTCATTTGAGACAAATGCTCAAATGCTTCTGCCCAGTATGTTCCAGTGACTTACAACTATAAAACAAGTCTCTCAATTGAGCAACCATTTTCATTTTTTGAAAAGGTTGTGAAAGGATTTACAAAGAGATAAATTTTATTTTCATGAACTATTCAGTATCCGAGTAAGCACCTTATGCATGTTTAGTTTCACTTGAGTATGTAGTCAGGTTTGGTTCTGCTTTCTTTAGCAGAATGTATGTATTGACATGTCCGATTTACAAGTAAATGGGTAGTTCAAAGACCTGCTTTGTAAATTCTAGAAATGTAATGGTATCTATGTGATCACTGCTAGTTAGCGAATACCTACTGTTAGTTTTTTGGCACTCACGTTCTGTAGATCTGGAGTGATTAACTGCTGTAATTACCAGCCAGGGGTCCAAACACTCTCTCCATGAGCTCTTGCCAACAATTGGTCAGCATAATTTGGTTTTGTTTTTCCATAAAATTTATTTCTCTATGAATTCATCTTACATCTGTTTCTATTTAAAAGTACACAAAGGTGGTGGTTATGGTTGCTGTTTTGTAATTCTCCCTGACTCTCCTGGGAATCTCCAGGTCCTCCATTGTAAGCTGTGATCCAGTCTAAATAATTAGTGTATCTGCCAGATCAGCCAACGCCCTTGCAGAGTGTTTGGAAGGCTTTGCTCTTGAGGTGGAGACTTCAGACTGACTGCTTCCTGCACTGTGGTTTCTTCTTTTATCACCCACATTTTCCCAAAAGTAGGGACAGGGACTGGGAAAATTGCAGAAATCTTAGGCAAAATTAACTCCCTTTCTGATATCAACCTCCCATTGTTCCCATGCGAAGTGTATGTTTTTTTCCAGTCTCTAAGGAAAACCTTCCTGTTTTACCAGCAGAAGCAGGACAACTATGTGTCTTACTGAATTACTGAGTGTCTGGAGCTCATTTACCTGGTGAAGGGAATTCATCATTTTCAGAGGAAGGAAAAAAGTAAGAGGATGGAGTTTAATACAGGCAAAATAGCAAAGCCATGATGTAACCCAAACAATAATTGATTCAGACTTGCTTTAAACTACTTTCATTATGTTTGATCTGCTCTGTGGGATGGCATAAGAGTAGGCTGTATCTGGAGTTGTAGGATTCTTTTTGCTTTTAAGAATGCAAATGTTTGTGTATGTGGAAGGTTTTGTTTTCCACACATGTGCTGATATTCTTAGTGTGACTCCATGGGATCATGGGTCTTGCTGTGGATGGAGAAAAGGATGTATATATGTGACTGTCTCGTGTAAAGTGGGAGCATCATCTCCTGGCTCTTACATTTTTGTGGTGCAACAACTTCATAGTACTTTAGAGATGTTCTGGATCTGCTTTTTTATGTTCTGAGCAGATGGCCAGCCCATGCCCAGAACAATTGCCTTGCATGCCTGACGTGTCTAGGATACATTACATTTGCTCTGTGTGTGAACTGCATGTGTGCTTATTGATAGTTTATCCAGGGTTTTTGGACCCACAGGAGTCCCAGGCAAGTGGTTGGCCCTGAGCTTGCTCTGTTACCAGGGAGAGGAGATGAAGGCATGACTTCTTCCTGCTTTGCCCTTGTAGTAAATTTGTCTGGTTGTAGCTATACCAAATCCTATGGAAGTAGGATACCCTTGGAGAGTGGGGATCAGCTAGTCTGCGGAATGAGCTCTTTTAGCATGAGCTTCACTGGTATCTTCAAAGATAGCTTCACAGATCTGTGGATCATGGACAGCTTTGGAAGAGCTCCTGCACTCTTATTTTGGCAAGGGATGGAAACAAGATGACTGCAAGCTAGAGCTCACATGCTGAGGTTTCCTTGATATCCTTGGTACAAAGTAAAGGGTTTTTCCTTCTGAACTGTTCTGTTGTAATAAATAGGTGATATATAAACATCTACTTATGAATGTGTTACGTAATTATTGCTAACGATTCTTTTTCAGGGTATGAGCATTATAGAGCAGCTAGATCCTGTATCTTTTAGCAATTACTTGAAGAAATACCATAATACAATATGTGGAAGACATCCTATTGGAGTGTTATTAAATGTAAGTAACTTTTGATTTGTTGAAGAATGTAACTTTTAGAAAAATGCTTACACTGGTTTAAAACACAGTATTGCTGCAGCATTCCTTAGTTCTAAAATGACAAACCTTGAATTAATTTATTTTTCCAAGTGTTCTCAATTTGGTCTCCAATTTCCGTGTCTTGCATATAGACAGATGTAAGCTCTTAAAAGGGCTGAGAGTTTTCAGTTCCCTAGGGGAGATGAGGTACACCACATTCCTTTTGAATTTCAATGAAATGCAATAATTCACTTTCTCTTGGCCTTAAAAAAAAGAACAAATAAATCCATCTCCCTGAAAAAGTACATACTTACTCTTCAAACCAGTACTTACAAACACGTATATATTTTTTCTGTATTGCTGTTAGCTAGCTATTGTGAGTGCCTTGTGATTTCTGGCAACGTTTTTGAATTTTGCAAATATGGTGAGAGATTGCCTCTGTAAGTATTAGTGCAGTGCACCATTAACTCATAAATTAACAGGAATTAGAATTCAGATTAACTGGTACTTTCTATTTACTGTATTCTGCTTTGGTGATGCAGTGCAGGCATAAACCTGGCTTAACTTAGTTGTCTAAATTTGGTCCACGGCTACTTTACAGCACTGCTGGAGTGCTGCAGATTTGTCATATTGCTGATTGAATCTCACTTATTTTTACTCTAAATCAAATCTGAAACAGGAAGCATGTTAACATTTTTAAAATTCACTGGGAATGTAGTCTGTATGAAGAACATACAGAGGAACCTTTTGAAGTGAAGCTTGTATGAGCAATATCAATACTGAGGATGCAAAATTCAGTACTGTGACAACTCTGCAAATATAGCCAACTCTTACCTTCAGATAATGATTAGTTTTGCAGTGAAGCAGAGCTAAATTCTGTTTATTCACTTTTGCCAATTGTCACGCTTTAATAAATTATTCTTGTACATTATTTTTCATTAATGGAAGAAATACAATCTAAAAGGTGTTAATAGTGTTCGGGTTTTCTCTGTTACATCTCTGTATCAACTCCCCATGGAACTGAAAGCATTGTTTCTAAGGGACCTATTATGAAAGGTTGTTTAGTATTGCTTCAAAGACCTGCATGAAGGTATATAATGCAGTGGGGGGAACGTCACTGAATGAACACGCACACAAATAGTTAGGTCCACAGATTATGGGGAGGTGCTTATATTATGAGCTTATGAGGACCTCCAAAACAGGGGGAAAGGACTGAGAACTAGAAAATGTTGTAATTTCACTGATACAATTTTTTAATGGCCCCTTTTTATTTTCCCCCCTCTCTTTAGGCTATCAACGAGCTCCAGAAGAATGGAATGAATATGAGCTTTTCATTTTTGAATTACGCTCAGTCAAGCCAGTGTCGAAACTGGCAAGACAGCTCAGTGAGTTATGCAGCTGGAGCACTTATGGTCCACTGAACCACTGAATGCTCAGGGATGGCACCTGCACACACTCTGTATACGGGGTCCCAGCCTAGCCCTTACAAAGATACAGTCCCTGGTCTTTGGGTATACTGAAACCTCAAACTAATAGAACTCTGTTCTTTTCTAGTAGGTGTAGTCCTTCCTTAGTTTCAACTCATTTAAAAATGCTTTCTTGTTTAGGACAATGGAAGGAAGGCTGGTATAAGAACTTTTTGTGCTTTCTTTTTTTTGCCTTTTTTTTTCTTTTTTGTTTTTCGGGGAAGAGATAATGGCTATGAAGGCATGGTGGTAGACTGTCCTTACAAATACAACATATAAAGCATTTACCATATCCTAAATTTGCACTCTTTGCAGACCTGTGCACATATACTCTGCTTTCAGAATAGTTTTGCAAGTTGTAAACGGAAAAAGGGGGTGGAAGCTTTTTAATAAAAGAAAAAAAAAAAGGAAAACAACGCATTTATAAATTATCCTGTATTAGAATATAATAAAACTCCAGTATAGTCAGTTACTACCCGTGATGTACAACAGATATCTTCTATTTTAGTTGCTAATAAAGGGCTACACAAACCAAAATAGTCTGATTTAAACTTATTGTTTTGTGTTCTGTATGTGGCTGCTTGTCATTAACATTCTTTATCCTCAGTTCTTGTGCTTGATAATTCAGCCATTCTGTAAAATACTTTAGAATGTATTTTGTATTCAACATTTCTTGACTACTTCATTTACAGATTTTTTTTTTTTAATCTTAAACCTGCACTATGAGTTCAGCAAAAGAATTTGAAAAACTTTTTCTATGGTCTTAATTTTTTTCACAATTATTTATGTAGTAATATCTTTTAGTATGTGATACAAATTTGTATCAGAAATACTTTTAATGATTTTTATGCTAAGTTTGATTACTGAAGTGAAATAGATGCAGTATTTTTGTTTGAAATTACTTAAAATTGAGAACAAACAGTAGCTTGAAAATGATAATTCTTAGATTATCTATCTGGCATTCAGAGGCCACAGAAGCCATACAGTGCTAAGCTTAAGCAATTATTCTGCAAAGATTATTTGGGAGGGGGAGGTCAGACTTCTCTTTTTATCTTTCATTTTTATTTTTCATTCTTTGACTGTGGATAGAAATAGTTTTATTTTTTTTTAAACATTATCACATCTTAAAGGTTCTTGAACTTTCTTCCAGCCAAAAAAATGATGTAATTATTTCATTTGTCATTCCTGAAGACTTCCTTTTGTTCTAATAAGAAATGCAAAGTAGGATGCAGTATTGGCTCATTATCTAAATGGAGATTTCATTCCCTGATATTTTACCTGCTGTCAAGAAATGTAGTACATTCAGCTTTTCTGAGCGACAGAGGGGAATTTCAGAATTCAATTTAGGTTATCTCTGAAAGTTGTGGGCATTGCTGCCTGTGGGGTCTTAGCTGAAAGCATACCAGACATCCTGTTTATTCCTATTTAAATACCCTCTGCTTGCACCACTTCTTTTTTCTTATCAGAGTTGGCCACCATTTTAATAATAGCAGGTGAATGCTCCATTTACAAAATGAACTACTTTGAAAATGTTCAGAATCCATTCCAAATGCCGAACTCCTTTGCATGCTGGTTCTTTTAGTTGCCTTATTGCTCTGCCTTGTTCTTGAAACATCTCAGCAGCAAACAGGGAAAACAACTTTGAGATTACTTTTGACAGACCAGTGAGAAGGCTGTACATGTAAAACTGAATTAGTAGACAGTCTTTATAAATATTTGTCTGACTGTGCCTTATTAACAAAGTAGTTTGATCAGGAAGAATTTTTTTTAAACGTCTTTGGTGAATTCAAGTTTAATTGGGGGTCGGGTTTCTTTCAGTCTTATGCCAAATGCTTAACATCATTGAAACACATAGTTAATTAGAAGATTTAATTTTCTCCCTAAGGTAAACATAGTAATTAACTTCTGAATACAGATGCCGAAGTTGCATCTTGATTCTGTAAGATAGTTTTAATGAAAAAAAAAACATAACTGGAAGAGCTTCAAGGAAACTGGTCAGCCATTTTGCTCAACACAATGTTATGAAATATCTTATACTGAAAGCACTTCACATGTAAACTGTGTAATCTATTTCAAAATAAAGTTTCTAATTAAAATGGGAATTTCTGTGCCTACTAGTAATAACCAGCATGACAGTTCAGAAGCTCACTCAGAAATTTAAAGCTTTGTGGAATCTGCTCTAACCTAGAAGGATTTGTTGTAAAAACCATGTTTGTTTGAAAGCAGAAAATACCTGACTTCAAAGAACTCAGATTTTTTTTTTTTTTGCCCTTTAGGTGAGCATGGAAAGAGTTGACTTCCTGGTGTGTTAGTTTAAGATGTGTCAGGAGGAAAAGCAGATAATCTCCTGAATAGATCTTCACTCAAATCTATTGTTTTAACTTTACTACATTTTATTCTCACTTAAATATACATTTGAGTATAGTGTGTTGGGACAAAGAATTTTCAGTTTAGACAATATTCACAGTCCTCTTCCCTTTTGTGGCAATTTCTTCTATGTGTAGAATCACTGAGCTTTAGCCACACTTGTGGTGCAGTAAACCCAGTCAGGGACGTGATTCTCATTTTAAAATTTTGGCATTTTAGAGAAATGTTAAATGTGCAAAAATGTTGATTAAAATACTCCGTTGTTTTTCTGTTCTCATGTTCACAAAGGAGCTTTATAGATTTTATTTTCTGTAAATACTGTCTAAAAAGTTCTTTCCAAGTACTATCTACTGAATTCTTAATTCTTCAGTATAATGTTTTTGACATTGAAATGGAACAGTGGGTCTTCCACGGCTTTGTGTTTAAATCAGCAGAAGCAGGAGGAAGCATCCCTCTGCGAGACAGTGAATGCTTCTACAGCCACTGGGAGCCACCTCTTGCTTCCAGCCAAGTTCAAGAGCACAAGCCCCTCATGGAGTGGAGCAAGTTAAGTGTAGCTGCTCCAACTCTCAGCCTTCCACAGGTCATCCTGACTATATTTGTCTGGCTATATTTGTTATTTATTTTAAAGATCATGACTTGAGTAGCTTTGATCCAATGTTGTTCTTTGAACTGCACATGTACTCCAGTGCAGTTCTCCTTTCTCAGAGCCTTCAGAAATGCCAAGTTTGCCCTCACATTTTTAGACCTAGCTCTTGCTCTCCCTGTTTCCCAGTCCAGGGGCTCATTGCTGTGTCTGAGGGGTTCTGCATGTTGCTGTAGACTTTACTTGGGAATTTTGAATTGACATTTCAAGTGCTGAAATGGGGGTGGGGTTGTTCTGTTTGATTCCTGCACACAGAGCCTCCCAGTACTTTTGAATGTTGCTTTGGTCGTTGGTGTAGGGCTTTGCTATTTTATGTTTGTAATTGTCCCCTTACTCCCGCAGGAAAAATGTTCTCCTCTGCATCAAAGGAAGCTTGGCTTTGAAATGGTATCAGTCACCATGATTTCCTGTTGCTATTTCCTTGGATTGAGTTCAGTGTGCCAACTTAATATCTGATCCACTCTCAAAAACTGCCCAAAGTCTTATGTTCATGGTGAAATGTTTAAAATCCCTTGTATAAATGACCTTTTGCCTTCCTACTTCAGTGAAGAGCTTTCCAAAATTACCCCTTGAAACTAGCCTATGAAAAGATTTTCAGTGTGAATGAAAAATGAATTTCAGGATCCAGTGTAGTGCACCTTAAAGCTGTGAGATTTTTTGGAACATCGGAACCCACAGTGCAGCCACATGGCCTTTTCAATAGATGGTTGCAAAACATGACTTGAAATTAGTCTGTGGGGATGAAATTACTTTATTCTGAGTAATGCAAAATCTCTTGTCTCTAGACTTTTTTTAATTTCATTTTTTTTCCTTATTTGATTTTGTCTAATTCTGAAAAGAGTTTGTCACTACAGACAACTTCCAGATGTCTAGTGTCATTTGGTGGTTATTTTATTCCAGCATTAGCTGAAAACTCAGCACCGAATTCTTCATGTCTTTCTCGTACCTATTTAGTACGTGCATTCCTTGCTGTTGGGGTCTGAGACATCTCTCCCATTGCTTATACCCCAGGAATGAAAATGCCATGGTGCTATTATCTGTAAATTGAAAAAGCCTGTCCATTTGTTTTCTCATGGGTTGTGGGAGGATGTGTTGGTAGAGGCTTTGGATCATTTGGAAAGGACGGAGGAATGAGAATAATGGTCATAGATGGGGAAGAAGATTGTTGCTTTTCAAATTTGATGTCAGCAACTGTTCTGCTATCCTGTTTGAGAGCTGCATGCTACCAAATACTGCCCAGTGCAGCTGTCAGTCAGGTGCAGTGGTGGGCAGCCTGTTATTGCTACTTCCAAGACGAAAAATGCTGGAATATTTTGTAAAGTGTAACTCAGTTTGTTGAAACTCAAGGGTGAAAATCCTATGCTGAAATCTTTAAATTATAAAGATAAATAATTTTGTCTTGGCCTTTACTCAAAGGTGACAGATCAACGCCCATACCCCCCAGGTTTCTAAGTTGATGTGGTTCTTGGTGGATTTAAGAGAAGTAAATAATTATCCCAGCCCTGTGATCTCCATTGATACTAATATAAATATGTATTCCCTAGAAATAGTTCTAGATACCTTTTTCAAACCTTGTGGAAACAAAGTTATATAATTACTCTTTTCAAACAAAAATGTATCCTCATTCTAGTAGCTGTATTTAAATATCATTAAAAGAATTAGCAGGGCCTCAAATCTGCTGTGACTGAAGCCAGTAATGAAACCTTAGACTTCAGTGATACGGTATCTGGTCTGTGTATGACAAGTACCTAAATGACAAGAGGAATAAAACATTGTGTTAAACATCAAACTAGTAACTCTCTAAACCTGAACTACACAGATTTTTTTTTTCTTTAGTCAATTTTAAAACAGTGAGAAATTACTTTCCTGAGCCTGTGACCATAGCTTCATGATACTGAGGACAGTAGTGCTCTTGGGTGAAGTCCCTTTGTGGGTAAAAGGCGTTTATTGTTCTTCTGAACTCTTGCAGCACAAAGTGGAGTGTTGGCATCTTAGTGCCTGGGCTGCAGAGGCTCGTCTGAGCTGCTGTTCTGTGCAGGCAGGTAGGGAAGGGCATCCCCTGGGATTTGTAAGCTGATACTTAAATGACTTTCCATTTGTCTCCACAATTATTATAAAGATTTTTGAAGAGTGAGCCTTTAAGCTCAGCTGCAATGAATCAGTGCTGGAATTTGTGCCTGTTTTTTTTTTTACTGATAAAAACCTACTTTTTTATGATCACAGTCCAAAGAGCCTGTGTTACAAATAATCTGTCAGTAAGATGTCTGCTATAAATGGCTGGTCTGGAAATGCTGACTGGCATCAGAACTACTTTCAGGGAGAAAGCACATTTCTGTGTTTTAAGAAATGTTCTGTTCAGAGGGCTGGGATGTAACCAAATAGTGCTTTCAAGCT